GTACACATGTCCCTAATATATCTTCACAGTTTCAGTCAGTTTCCACGTTTACTTTTTTTTGTGAGACAGAAGCGTTAGCTAGGTTTTCTGTGCTCGGCGATTTTCTGCTGTGAAAAAAAATGAAACGAAGAATTTGCATAACATTTTGTGTAGAAAATGAAACACAGTGCTGGAAAACACTTGTAATGTTTACAACGGCATATGGTGAATCTACTTTCAACAAAAACAAAATGTTTCTAAGTGGTACAAGCTGTTCCAAGACGTCTGAGAACAAGCTGATGCCGACTCTCGCTCTGGACGCCCCAGCACGTCTATAACTAATAAAAGCATTGAATAAGTGAAACAAATCGTATTGAAAAATCGTCGAATCACTATTACAAAAGTGGATGAAGGCGTCGGCATCTCCATTGGCTCTTGCCATGCAATTTTTTTCCGAAGTTTTGGGTATGAAACGTGTAGCAGCAAAATTTGTTCCGAAACTGCTTAATTTTGAACAAAAGGACCGTCGAAGGAGCATCGCTCAAAAGCTCTTAAACGACGTGATGATCCTGATAAGCTCAAAAAGGTCATAACTGGTGACGAATCATGGGTATATGGTTATGACGTCGAAACCAAAGTCATTATCGTGGCGTAGTACATCAAGAGTTCCTACGTAATAAAGAGTATTACCTTGAAATTATGCGCCGTTTGCGAGAGGCAATATGAAGGAAACGTCCGGAATTGTGGGAAAACAATTCATGGATTTTGCATCACAATAATGCACTTGCTCACTCATCGTTGCTTGTGTCTAACTTTTTGGCAATGCGACTTTTTCCTGCTCCCAAAACTCAGGAAATCCATGAAAGGAAGGAGGTTTGGAACGAATAAGGAGATAAAGAAGTCAAGGTTATATACCAAAAAGTACTTACCAGAAGTGCTTCTAGGATCAGAAAAATCGTTGGCATAAGTGTATTATATCTGGGAGGATTACTTTGAAGGAGGCGACATTAATTTTGATAAATAAATAAACAATTTTGATAAAACTTAAAATCCACCTTATCTTTTGAACACACCTCGTATAATGTGAGCGGCCTATAAGCCACAAGATGGTCTATATGGCCGTTCCGTTCCATTTTAAGTCATACATATAGTGTATGCAGTCTCTAAATGAAGTATTGTATTTCGAACAAACTCATATTCACGTATCTGATCTCTGAGTTCTTGGGCAGTGGTTGGTTTATGTTTATACACTAGGTCCTTCAGAGTACAACCCAGAAAAAGTCGAGTGGAGTTAAGTCTGGGCTCCTTGGGAACTTCCTTGCAGGGTGGATGTTTCAGGATTGTCTTCACAGTGCAATAGAATATCTACCTGCCTTTTTCCACTGAGTATCTGAAGACCTGCTTTCTTTTTGTATTGCTGGCTTCCCTCTTTCCCAAACTGAAGGTAGATTTTGTAAAATATTTTTTTTCATTCAATATTCAACAATACCAATTTTCTCTTACATAGTAAACATTATCAATAATTATCAAAAATAATTGATAGTGTAAATACTATATGAAGGAAAATTAGGTACTAGTATACGAACAATTATTGTTGTCAACGCTTATTATTGCAAAAATTCATGACTATTGGAGAATTGACGCTGCATCTTTGTAAATGTTCTTCAATTCTACAGGACTTTTCGAAACTGATGACTGTAAGCTTTTTATAAATACTAGAAACAATTTTGAAATAACTTGGATAAATCAGTTCAAATATCGGGCCAATAATGAAGATGAACGTCAGAAATTTCAAAACGTTGAGTTTAAACCCCATACTGTTATAGATAGTTAAAGTCCTCTTTCAAAGGTCTAACTCTAAGTCAACATTAATATACAGGGTGTTTGATTTGAAATAAAAAAGTTGGTAGTGGATATAATAAATAAATTGTCTAAATTTACCCAAGCAACTTTTGTACTCAACTTTTTATTCAATATCTTATAGTTCCTGAAATAATGCGGTGGTGCATAAACTGGCCCCAGCGTGTTTAGTCGTTAACTGGTTCTAGCTGGATTTATAAAAATAGAACAGTTAAAATCTAAATAATCAACAATTGTTTTATATTAACGATTCTTATAAAAAAGACAGCTCGTTAATAATCGTAACTTTTAGTAATTTAATTGGTAAAGGCAACTGTTACTGATATTACTGGTAAAAAATATTCCTTCGGCTTGACGTATCTGTCTTGTAAATTTGTATTTTAAAAAAAATGGATATCTGGAGTCCTAGAAGACACTTATGAATGGAATATCGAAAAATCACAAAAATCAAAATCAATTTTGCTTCAAAAAATTAAGCAATCACAACCGCCGACGGCGTATCCAATTATGAAAGTGGGAGTCACCGATATTCAAGCAACAAAAACTACTGGTCATGCGCATGTAAGACCCAATTCAAACATACACTCCTGAATAAAATAAGACAAACACGTTGATTTTGAAAACTTTCAAGGTAAATATTACCGTTTAGGTATGATATCTTTTGTCATCTCGGGCTTGATTGTTTTTTAAAGAATTGTCGGTTAATTTTTAATACCACACATTGTGTAGAAGATTGGGATTAGTATATTATACAAGTGCGGTAAATGGCATTTGACTCACGAGTTTATTTGACACGAGTTTTCAAGAAACGAGTGAGTTAAACAGTTTACCGAACGTGTTGCATACATACTTTTCTACGACCGTTAGTCTTTGGGTAAAATTTTGCAAAACACGAATACATTCACTGACATGACTGTCAGAATTGACAAACGTCAAAATTCAGAGCGTGGGAAATATCTCCGAAAACATCCGATTGCTCCCAAACCCGTGCGGTAAAATTCCGGAAATGTCCGAAGTGGCTCGGATTCGTGGGAGACGAAACTGACGTAGTAAAGCGACGCTTCCCGCACACTCGATCGGTGCGTAATTAGGTATTTTACAGAGGGGAGTAGAAAACATATATTAACAGAGTAGTGTAAAATTATATCGGTGGTAATTTTTTTTTTTTTTTGGTAGTAATCCCCGGCTATCATTTTAATATAAAGTTTGAAGCAATCACAGAAATTTATCATGAATGTAAAAAGCGTAGACTGTAAAATAATTTAATAATAATAAGATGCGAATGTACACAATTGTTTATGTTTTATAGAAATAGAGTGATCTCCATTTTGTTTGAACTTTACGTGACTATACCTGTGTCATTTAATATTAACTGGATTCGTGGCGTTTTGTGTGTGTGTTCTATTTCGTTTTTGCAAAAATGAAGTAGAATAATACATAATGAATTATTTTTTTATAAGTAAATGTAACTACTGTAATGTAAGAACTGGAGCAGTAAAAATGAGAGCAACCATCCATTTTCATTGAAAATTCAAGATTTAATTTTACTCAGATTTAGCACCAAATCAATACAAGAGACAAAAGTAAACATAGATATTGGAAAAATTAGAATATCGTAAGTGAAGAGGTCGCAGACGCTTAAGGGCAATTATTTACCGTTCCATTAAGCACTAACGACTTCACCTGTCAGTTTAAAAGGGTAGTTATTCTTCAATAAAGAGAAAATGTTCCTTTCCAGTAATTAGCTATTTAGTTAAGCGCTGAGAAATTCCTTAAATGACGAAAAATTCACTTACTCAAATGTTTTTGAAATGAAATAGTTCAATAAATACATAACAACTAATTTAAAAGTTTAACAATAACCTGATGATAAAATCCAATTTTCATTTTCATTGCCTGAATTATATAATAGAAGCTCATTTCCAACTTCTCCCACGAAGCGGAGAAACTGCAAAATGGTATGCCATATTTGGTAAATTAACATGAATGAGCATACCAGAAAAACTTAATAACTTCTAAAGCCTTTGTAAAGACTATTCGTGTGGTTCTCTCTGTTACACAACAATTCTTCGAATGCACATAGGCGTCCGACATTGACCGGCTAGGAAATTGCGCAATGTCATTATTTTCCTGATCATGAAAATGAAATAAGTACCTCATTTTGGTATTTAAAAAAAATATATCTTGGTTTATTATTTCAAACTAAATATTTCTGCACTTGCAATTATTTCTAAAAATTTACTAATTAGGAATAGTAGTATTCTGCATCGCATTAAAGGAAATTTAATTATCAAACACAATGCTGAATATTATGCAATGTGTTCCATTTGATACAAAAAGTTTCTTGACGTTTTTCTATCCCTCGTTATTATTGAACCAGAACGTACACTATTTTTATTTAATTAATTTATTATATTTACTTATTTTATTTGTCTCGATAAATCCTAATCGCAAAAAAACGAAACCAAAATTTCGGCTTTCAGTTAATATATATAAGAGTATTAAAGCAAAAATGACCAAAAAAAGCAATGATATTAAAAATTTAATAAAATATGTGGTAGGTATGTATTTTAATTCCTTATAGACGATTTGCAAACCAGATTATCCAAATTTTCAAAAAAAATATTTCTGTTTTCTTTACCATCGACCATCATACCACGGGTATAAAATACAAAATAATTTCAACATATTTTTATAGAATCAATAATTATTTTGTAAACGGTGCTTTTATGTAGAACTTATGAACTTTGCTTGATTAAATATGATCAGTTTGGTTCAGTGTCCTTTCTTTATTATAGACTTGTGCAATTTTGTTTGATTGTCATTGTAGAATTGCAACGATTTTTTTTAAATATACTCAATTATACAAACAAAATTAATAAAAAAAAATCCAAACACTTGCAAATTGAGAAATCCTCGCCGTGCCGCCACTGTCTCGGCGAACGACGCTTATAAAACAGATCTCCGGCCACATCGTAAAGTAATTCATGATAGGTCATGTATCTTCAACTCTTTTCGCATTACCTGTGACGACATTTTGCTTTGAAACATTTTTTATTTTACCGAATGTTTTGCATTTCAATAGAATCAGAACCAGCAGATTTGCTGAATGATCGGCGCATTTCGTTATATGATTAATTAGGTTTTACGATAGTACTCACTTCTTCGCTGATGTCGCCCAGATGTTGGACATCTTCAGTTTCCTTAACCTCTTCAATTTCCTCTCGGGACACCACTCTCCGCTCCTTGACTTCTCTCACCACACCATCCGGATTAGGTACGGGTACCCATTCCGACCTGTTGATGAGAGTTCCTCTTTCGCCACCTTCTAGAGCCTTGGACCCGTCTAGATCATCCCCGAGCTTTCTATGCTGAAAAATGGAAGTAATTTTATATCAATTTCTTAAACTAATGGAAGTCAATTGAAATATATCGAATATTTTACAATATAAGAATAATTTTTTATTTTCTTTGATTATTTTGTAAATCATACTTCAGTTTGATGGTGCTCTTGAGTTTCTGTGTCTTCGGTGGTGTTTGTCGTGACCATCGGACCAGTGTCTTCCACCACCTTGCCATCTTCAAGGACCACCTGTCTCTTGACCCTTGTTTCGATCTGTTTCGTATTGGTTACCTCAGTCTTCTTTTTGCTTATCCATTCTTCTGCAAGCGTAGGAGACCAATTAGGAAAAGATGATCGTATGGTCAATAAAATATTTAAAATTAAATTGCATTATTGTGATCTATCTAATCTAAGATTTTCTAATTGTTTAATTGTATTACGAGTTATTTTAATAATAAAAAAATAAAGGTATTACTTTTATCCACAGCTATCAACGTTCGATTTACTATATTAGCAATTTAAATAGTTAAATTATAGTTAGTTTACATTGACATTTGCTAATCCAATTGGAGCTTGACTTCTGATTTGGATTTGAATTTCGAGTTATTGAACACATAAATAAATAAAAAGCGTAAATTTCCAAATTCAGGTCCTCTAGTCGAAGTTGATCTTTCAAATAGAAGACAATGGTAATTATTATTGGGAAGGGATGCTTACCTTCTTTGGTCGTAGCAAACGTATCGGCATCGACCTGCACAGAAAAAATAGACGGTTCAATATAAAGTCTCGTGATATAAGTCACTTTAATTCCTGGACATTTTCTGAAATTTTGACCCGCAGGCCCTTTGATTTTTATTATCACCACCATTCAACATCACAATTTAACCATAACCACGCCCTGTCTCGGACAACCGCGCGCATAGCTATGGCAACAATATTTTCCTATACATTCAACGAATTACTTCGTATGCGTATCGTACTGTGACAGTGCTATAACCGAGCAGGAAAAGTCTGCTGTAAATGGGGGGCACCAAATATAGCGCCATTATTAAAATTTTTGTGTATCCTGTGACGTATTCACGTAACCTGGGTGCTCATTTGTATGCATCGTCGTCTACGCAATTCGTGTAAAGAAAAAAGTTGCAAAATCAGAAACTACACGAATTTCGCGATAGAAAAAAAAAACAATAAGACTTGTCAGCGCGGATCTGTGTTGCAAGAATTTATGCAGAAAACCTGGTGGTTGACGGCAAAGTACAATAGACCCGAAAGAAATATCATTGCCCAATAGCGGCATAGAAAACATTCCGCATTTGCATTTTTGAATGCGGCACGTCACACGATCTAATTTTTCTGATAAAACTTGACGAAAGAATCCGCGTAGTTCGATCAGTACGTTCGATTATCTAAGCGTTTAATTTTTAGAGCTCGTAGTGGAAAACGTTTGTTATAAAATGTCTGATCCACAATGTGTTTTTGTTACTTTTAAATTTCCACTTTTTCAAATTGTATGGGTTAAATTAGGCAGATTATATTTTTGCCATATTCAAAATGCTTTAAAAAATAACGTCTAATACGAAATGCAGAAAATTTTTTTTTTGGAACGGTGAAAGTTTGAAAGTATCCTTGCTAGATTGTAATATATCTATCATAATATTAAAATCGAATAGAATAGAATATGGTTGTAGCACTTCGAAAAAAATAGATCAAACAAAAGCATTCTAGCAAAAGTTTTCTAGCATTTAGAATTTAGAATGCTGCTCCAAACTGAATTTGTTTATGAATAATAAGTTTCTTGACAATTTTTTGGGCAATTTTTTTATTTGGGACTTTTTCTTACAAATTATACAAATATTACCAATTGAATTTTTCATTTTTTAATCAGTTTCAGGGCGTGTGGATGCCGCATGAATTAGAGGAAACATTTTTCTAGGATCTAGAAAATTTGTCGCATGCATCAAACTCAAGAATACAGGAACTTTATTCTTTAGTGTAAACTGTAATTATATATATATTTAAATTTTTTGTTTTATTTTTATTTCTCGTCATAAATGGATTCATTAGATTATCCTAAACTTTTATATGCTGCTTATTCTCAAAAAAACGAGATGAATGTGTAGATGTGACGTGAATTAATGAACGTGGATGTGAAAAAACATGACTACGTAACGAATAACGGTCCGAATTTTGGCTTGACGTCAATATTTCAACAAGTTTCCTTCGGGGAAATGGTCCGAGTTGACAATAAATCTGAAAATTACTGGTTCTCGACCGAGTGAATGAAAAACACAAAGTGCAATTATTCATTCAACGTGTGTCTCCACCCGAAGCCACTAAACCCAAACGATATTGACCTAAATGTAAGACTCTACCACTCACGCACACTAATTGTTGTATAATATCGTTAAAAGAGCCATATTTCCTTTGAAACGCGTGAATTGTGTTCGAGTAGGCATTGTCCTGAAAACAAAATGCCGGTGCTTTATTCTGTCGACAGTAATGGTCATCGCTTATAACAATTTTCCATTGCAAAACCGAGAAAGATAAACATGTTTTACAAGAGCAGCTCACACTGCCACTTGGCGCTTGCACAGTTATAGTTTACTTTATACTTTATTACTTCATAGATCTCTCAAAAACGCACTAAAACCGGATGTTTCTTATTACATCGATCTGGAGTCATGGTTAACTGGGACTAATTTTTTATGTCAAATGTCAGGAATACATAAAACGCAACTATACTAATTTCCATGAAGTGCGTCGCTTAAGCATTACTCATGTAGAATGTTTGTTTATAGCTCAATTTTGATAATTCTTTTTTATTGGATTAATTTTCACTGAAAGGCACTAAGGATTTTCTTAAAGTTAAATATGGTTAGAGTTTAATTAGGAATGATGATAAGAACTAAATACACTTTACAACGCTGTATTTTTTTAATTAAAAAGGGTTTTTAATTTTCAACAAATAATGAAAATAACAGAAATATCAAAATTGATTGACGTCGACATACTGTTTCCTTTGTAAAACCAAGTTTTGACATGGAGAAGCGAATATTCAAAAGTGAAATTCTCTAGTTAATTTATATTTTAATGTTGATTACATTATATCTTTCGAATTATTAGATTTATTAATCCTGTTGTTTTAAGATGAAACTACAAAATAAATGTCCCCTATTTATTTATTATTTTTGAAAGCTGTTTAATTACAATTTGTAAGATCTTAAAATTACATACAAAGTATTCATTATTTATTTTTTTAAAGCATAAAAGACTAGTTACTTTTACGTAGTCCTGAATACGGATCTATTGATTGATCTATCTATTGTTGATCTATTTCATTTAAAAACATCTCTAAAAGTACTTCTGATTTTCCGCAACAAAAAACTTGAGTCGAAAAAACCGTTTCATTAATGCTTAACCGAACTTCATGGAAATTAGTATAGTTAGGTTTTATGTAGTCCTGAATTCGTTGACACTTTGTTTTTAAAGAAATCCCTAACAGCCCTACTCTATATTTCACATCAAAAATTAGTTGGCCATGGCTTTAGGTTGATGTAAAAAGAAACATAAGGTTTAAGTGCGTTTCATCAAAAAAAAGTTATCAAAATCAAACTGTAATCAAAGATTTTACAATGATGTACAGCCTTAATCGGGGCGCAAACTATATAACACCCGGTATCGAAACATTATAAAAATTGGTATACTTGTGTTCTAAGTACTCCTGATTAAGCATTCGTTGCCAACTTATCTTTTTAAAAATCCCTAATAGTACTTGTCTATTTTCTCTCTTTTGTTAAATAGTCCCAGTTGGCCACGACTTTAAGCAATAAGCAAAACAAGGTTTTACTGTATTTTTCAGAGATCTATATAACAAAAAAAAATATCAAAATGGACCCATATACAAAGATTTCACAAGAGTGTACAGTTCTTAAGTGCGACACAGTGTATACAGGGTTTCTCGTCACTAAGGTGTTTTCTATCTATTTTAACAAATCATTTTATATACGAAATTCGTTTGTACGAATGGGCTGTACAAGTTTCTATAGCATAAATTTTTCATAGCACCAATCTTGATATTTTTTAAGGGAACCCACAGTTTATTTGAATTTTTATGCCAGGCATGCATATCAACTCATTTAATCAGTCAAATTCAATATCGACTTTTTTATGCAGTACTTCAAAAATTCAATTTTTTAATAATGGAACTCCCTGTATATTATTTATTGACTTGAATCTGCACTGGGCACTAATTTCTAATTACATTATTTTTGAAAAGCATTCATCTAAAAACATGTAAAATAAATGTCTATATTTTTCACAGTTTTTCATATATTTCTTTCATACGTAGAATTCAAAAAGATGTGGATTTACCTAATTTTGGAAATTACAAAATTAATCGGTTGGGATTGAGTATTTGCGTTGTTAAATAACAATTTTAGTAACTTTGAGTAACATCTCGTAAAAAAAGCTTTAAATCAATAGATCAAATATTTAAGTTTACAGACGTTGGGGTGATCGAAGCGTAATTTTTTGCATATTGAAAACAAAGCGTTCAAATTGAAAATGACATAAAGAAAGTCAAGGCATCACAAAGGAATATGCGGTTAACAGATTGATCTACTTTTTTGTAATACCCTGTCAGAGATCAAATTCTACGTTGACGCACATAATTTTTCGCCCATTGCATTTTATATTTTTTCGCATATTGCCGTAGCTCAGTTGCCTTGCGTGTTCTGCAATCATACGTTGGGTTGTTTGACATTTCGAAGCAGAATTAGAAATGCCATCCAATGACCGTTGGGTTGTGGTGTCACTTTTCGGTTGCGCATGCGCGTGATCGCACACGTGCGCAACTGGAACCAACCTATTACGTTCAGGTGCTGAACGCTCGCGATATCGTATGGGCATAGGCGTTAAAGGTTTTTTTTTTACTGGTATCGGGCGTGGAAACATTAGTAGATCTACACTTGGCTAATTGGAAATTCGTGTGTGCGCATGCCGACACAACGGTAAACGTAATCATATAATTAATGGTCGATTTATTAGAATATCATTATCGACGGGGTTATGTAAAGGCCTTGGTTCAGATCGGGTCACTCGCAATAGGCTTTCAGAATTATTCGCGTGAAACTGTCTTGATTATGGAAACTTAGCCATTATTTATAACGCTATAACGTACGAGATTGTTTATCTGCGATTGCTTGAAAGGACCTTTCAATAGAGTAATGGTCGATTACGCCTGTACGCTTTCTAGATGTTTTAGACAAATGATGTACAGATTGAAATCTCGATAACAGTTCAGAGGAATGCATAAAACGTGCGAAATATATAAATAATAAGTTACGAGAAAAATATTTTGTATAATTCCGTATTTATAAATACCGATGGAATTACTTTGTTCTTGTGCGCTGTTTCTATTAACGCAACTAGCCGGATAGCTTGTATATTGGATCAGTGTTAGGTTTTAAGGCTCTAACTTTAAGCTGACTTTTCGGCTGACCACAAGAAGAAAAACTGTCTAACCAACGTTGTATTCCAAATCTATTATTAGACAATTCCCTACTAATAAAGGAAATTATTACTGTTAAACTACTTTATCTAAGTATAGGAGAGCATGTTATACCATTCGATAGAGTTTTTTATTAGCTAATCAATCGTTCTGCGTATATATTAAAATAAAATTAACAATGTACATGTGAAAATATTTTTCAATGTAGAGTACGGCAGAGAGACCCCACCAAAATTTGTCGGTAACAGTACCCTAGATATTCCTAATAGGTCATTGAGCATGGAATGCCCTGTATAATCTATTAATGCTATAGCTTCGAGGAAAGCTGTTAGGCTGCCAATGTTTTGAAAATTGCTGTTGAAAATGTTTTTAAAGAAATTATCAATTTTTTCATGTACGGTAAAGCAATGGGAACCGAGATTCTTCAAAGCTTCGCAAGGATAGATATTCAGAAACCGTAAAACCGAAATGTCTACGTATAAGTACATCGATTTATAAAACAATAGCAGAAGGTAAATTTGTTTATTAAAAAAACTAGAATATTGGGTATCGTTTCGAGTGTAAAATTTCATCTGGTAGGAGTATTCGGTTTCCGTCTAAAAAATGTTGAATCATTTTAGACAAGCTCCGATGGGTTCCCGCGAGGTTCGTGAATATGGGTTCTTTTTCTCAATTTATTTACACGGAATAGGCAAGGCCGTTTCAATTAATTTTTTTTTAAACGCTAGCGACATGATTACCGACGACATTTTTAAAGCATGGGCGGCACATGAAGTAGTACTTATTTTAAAGTTTGATGATGATGACGATTATTGAGTGGGAAAATGATCAGAAAGTGGGAAGCCAGTCAACAAAATTATACATATAAAAAATTAAATAAAAATAGTTAGCACAATCCAAAAATGAATGCAATTTAAAACAGAGGTGGTGAAAAACCGAATTTGCTCAATCAATTATTTTGTTAACGCGAGCTTTTACTTTTTTGTGCCTGCCAAATCGGCCGCTAAATAGGTAACCATAGTTTTCACAGCAAAATGGCTTCGCCGGCATTCGAGACCGCGATTTTTTAAATAAATTCAAGATTTTATTACGGTCGTATTTATTACCACTGCAGCGTAATTTAATTATTCTGTTATTACCGTTACATATAGTACCTAACTATTATGTAAAAAGGTCGTTATGTCTCGTACCTTTCGTAACGGCGGTACTATTATTAAATTAAGGTTACCGAAGCAAAAACAAATTTACCCAATACGTACGAATAATTTGTATTGTAACGGTTTTGCGTTTTTTAAGTAGTTTCCAGATACTATGGGGGTCTTTGCTATATGCGGGCAGTAAGTTCTATGGATATTCTAAAAAAAATCCTTTTTTAAAAAATTTTGGTAAAATTTTTTGGGGTTTTAAAAATAAGTATAAAACGGAACAGTTTATTGGGAACTACTGTGTGTTAAAGAATAAAACATGATATTTTGCTTCCAATTTTTTTTTAAGATTTTAATATTTTTAATATAATAATATTTTTAATAACAGTTAAATCAGTATATACAGAATTTTTTGGAAAAATCTAATCTATTTACGGCCAGAAACATAGTGATGGTTAAAAAATAGCTAAGTTAGACTCAAAACAAATGTTTTCCTTCTTTCATATCCATATCTACCTATTAAGAAATAAAAATACAGAAATATTGAAATAAATATTTTATCACACTACTATCTTTTTGTATATATGTATTTTTTTAAATTCCGAATGGCTTCCGAAAACTTAATTGGATAGTTGGATAGTTGATAGCCATTATTTTATCCCCCTTTTGGAAGTCAATTATTCTCTTTGATAAATATGAATTGAATGAGGTTTTTAGTAATATTATTATTATATTTAAACTCTAGTGATGTAGAGATTAAATAAATACAATAGAAAATTATATATAAGTGAAGAAAATAGTTGACATGTTTATCATTTTTGAGGTTGGAACCAAAATGTTCTGGTTCATTCATTCGTTGCATTTTAATATTTTTGAGTATAACACACCCATGTGATCCCGAATTTCGGAACGTTAGTGACTGTAGCGCTGATGAAACAATTGGTTCAAGTACTAAAAAAGGAACGTAGTATTTGGGGGTACAATTGGATTTAGAAATGGAAATTATAGTATCTGTCAGGTACTAGAGAATAATTATGTAAAAACAGGTTCTTGAGAGAAGATGCTTTTTTTCCTAACTTAAGGTTACATTGTGTGCAATTTAAAGTCCGAATGACAGTATTTCTATATAAATTTAGTTTTAGGTAGGAAAAAACATCATGATATTGGCGTACCGGAATGTGACATAGCCTGCCACGACATATTTTGAACAAGGACAACGAGACTTTAACATACCACCACTAGAAATTCAGCAGCCGCGAAAAAAGCGGGAAAAGCATAAGGATTAAAATCTTCACCTACATATCTAGTTCAATAAGGATTTTTTAGACCTTCGTCGGCTTACTTTCCCACATTGCTTGGTGATGGCGGCATTTAGTAGGAAGCAAGCTCATTTTAGTGGTGTTTTTTTTGTTTAAATTGGGTTTAAACATCCACTCACATTAATGACGTCTCCCAGATGTTGTTCGAAATTCTGAATGACGCTCTTTTGGAGGCCGTTCACGTATTCTAACTCGGAAAGCAATCGATTGAGCATCCTTTTCTCGCGCTCCAGACACTCGATTTCCTTTTTCGAAATTTTCAAATCTTCCTTGCCGTTTTCCCAGGCGCGTTTGCACCCGTCGCACAACCAAAACAAATTCTGACACTGTTGGATCGCTTTGTGCCAAGAGTCCTTGATCGACGCGCAAGCAATATGAAACCGATTTTTGCAAATTTCGCATCGGATCGATTTCGAATTCTGCGCCATGTTGTGCGTGCAACCGCCGCAGACGTTTCCGGGCGCCATTTTCGATTTCAAATTTTGCAAAATTTGAAAAATTTTCGCAGCGCGTTTTTCGAAATCGCCTCCGAATTGTGTAATCTGCATTCCTGAATTTTTCGAAATCACTAGCACCCGGATTAACCACGACGGTCGTACCGCGCGCACCAATCATTTAAAAAGTCGCGGAATACGTTGCAGCCAGCGCCATTGCACTTGTTGCTCGATTGTTTATTTCGCGACGCTCGTTTGTTTTTTGCTACGCCGCACTATTACTATCCTACCGCCGCGGTGTCCGCTGCATCGGTCGCCATTCAGTACCGCCGTGCGTTTACTACGTTAGGCGGTGGTAGTACCGTCGATTAAATTGGAACTCCGGTTGATTTTTTTCGTGCCGTAAATTTTCCGCAATAAGGTCAAACGCGAAGCCATTGTTTTCGTTCGATTTTCGATGGGGATTGCAAGTTGCGGAATTTCAAACGCCCTCGATCACTTAGAATCTGCGTCTTGCCAGTCAGTCGAAGAGAATGCGAGATGATGAAAAACTATGTCAAAAAACAAAAGAAAATAAAAATTTTCGAAAAAGCCTTAAAAGTTTGGTTAGTTTCCTTTTTTACTAAAAATTATATAATATCCAATTGCCAGTTTGGTTTTACTGATAACAAGTCAACCATTGCTATGCTGTTGTCAATATATATATATATATATATATATATATATATATATATATATATATATATATATATATATATATATATATATATATATATATATATATATATATATATATATATATATATATATATATATATATATATATATATATATATATATATATATATATATATATATATATATATATATATATATATATATATATATATATATATATATATATATATATATATATATATATATATATATATATATATATAGATGATTAGATAATTTAAGACCATGCGCTCATTGACTTAGCAAAAGCATTCGATACTGTAAGCCACCCGCGCCTACTAAACTATATTCAGCTGGTATAAGAGGACCTGCTCACTTACTAATTGAAAGTTACCTGAAAAATCGATAACAAATGGTAAAGATTAATAACTGTTTCAGTAAGCCGAGAAGTGTGACCTATGGAATTCCACAGGGTACAGTCCTAGGACCCATATTTTTCCTTATATACATAACTTGCTATTGATGTTTCCGGTAAAATCATCTCTTTTGCTGGTGATACAGTTTTGTTTGTTGAAGGTAACAATTGGGACGGAGTCACAGTCACAGTGGCTTGACAAACTAACCAAAACTAACAATCAACTTGAATAAAACAAATTATAATGATCGACTACCTACAAACAATAAACTTGCTATAAGATTATTGCTTAGAAATAGTTGCTGGTTTTTACATAGAGCTGAGCAGTTTACCTACCTAGGAATTCATATTGACTCAAATCTAAAGTGGAACTTCCATATCGAACAGTTAGTGAAAAAGTTAAGATAATTTATGTATTTATTCCGGCAACTTAAGTTAAGTTAAATCAGCGATATCCATTTCACTTAATTTTTACTCAATTTCAAATATTTCACATAAAAAATGTATATTATAAATTATCCCTTTTGTTCTTAATAAAAAATAACTTACTGGTTAATTCAAAAACGTATTAAACTTGGAGAAAATTTAATTTTACAAAAAATGCATTTATCTATTGGAAGTGGCTTAGTGATGCTAAATTGTAAACTAAATTTCTAAGTGGATATTTATTATAAGTAAAATTCACGGATTCATTAATGTTTGGTTACTATACAAAACCCTTCCTTTTTTTTTTGGTCGAATATAATGCCTTTTTTTCATATGGTATAATAGATGGGAAACATAGTTAAATTAATCTGCGTTATGTTCAAGGATGGTTGTTAACTTTTTAACCTAGTATACCTTGAATATAAGTGTTTTTTGTATTAATATTTATTTAATGTTTACATTAAAATAAGTTGTTAAATTTTGTATTTTAAATAAATATTATTATTATTATTATAACGCCCTCGGGGCGTTAATTTAGCAAATGGAAACCCAGAATTACCATCAAGGAATGCGTTTGGAACGATAAACTATAAGCCTTTTCACAGGAAAAATAAGAAGGCTCCACACTAAATTCTCATATCTTAATGATTTTCTAAATAGCGAAACACTTAATAATATTATACCACCAAACTAACCAAAACTATCAACCATGCAAGAATAGTTAATTAAAATAATTTTGGGTGGAACTAAAATTATTTTACAACAGTTACCCATAAAACTAAACTAAAATATATGAAACGTGAGAATTGCCTAGAGACTAGCTGATTTCCACATTTATTCCCCTTCCTAAGAAGGCAAATGCTACTAGGTGCTCTGATTGTCGAATTAAAAGTCTGATGAGTCAAGTACTGCAAATCCTTCTTAATGTCATCCACTCTCGTATATACAGAAAGCTCAAAGAAAGTATCACCAAATATGTTCAGTACTTACTTCGAAATACTGTTTAGACAAGCGCTTAGTGAAACAGAGGAAGGCATTAAGATCAACGGAGAAATGATCAATGATTTGAGATATACGGAGTTCTTATAGCAGATAGTGCTGATGGATTGCAGAGGTTGACAGACCGTGTAGTGGAGGCATGTGATATATATGGATGAGGCTCAACTGCAGGAAGACCAAAATTCTTGTAGTTAGTAAAAACGATGAGGCACAATACCACCAGTTTAGGATCAACAATGAAATCTTGGAAACAACAGATAAAATAACGTACTTGAACAAGGAATGGGATCATATACGGGAGATCAAATGCCATATAGAAAAAGCCAGAACCGTTTTTAACTGCCTCAGAAAAGTCCTATGTAATATGCACCTATACGGAGTGGAAGTCTGAACTTTGACAGATGCTACATCTATGCGCTTGGAATCCCTTGAAATGTGATGCTATCGCCGCATACTCAAGATATCATACTCCTATCATGTCACAAACCACACTGTGATCCAGCGAATTCAAAAGGTGTCATACATAATATGAAAGTGAGGAAGATGGGGTACCTTGCGCATGTGATGCGTAATGAGAGATATCAATTTATCCAACTAATATTGCACGACGAACATCGTGGATGAAAAATATCAGACAGTGGACGGAAATGATGATTGTACGTCCATTTATTCGGGGCGGCTGTCAAGAAACTTGTATGTACATCCATAGAGGAAAGGCACTAGAATAAGGAGGCTCGTTCAATAAGCGAAAAATTTAATATTAATTAATTGAAATAAAAACGAATAAACGATCTTTAAACGAACCTAATATTATGATCTAATTAATGCTATTGAAGAGCTACATTTCTAAAATTAGTCTAATTTTTATTTTGATTTTGTAGTAAAATATTCTAAAAAAATTCTTAGTGACTAGATTACGCATTGTTTTGATAAAACCACTTAGGATCTAGCCTAGTCTTAAATATGGTACGAATATTTTATAATTAACATACTATTATTTAATAAATTATTATTTAAATAAAAGAGCCAGTCACACATGCGAGACTTCTGACATATGCCTTTTTGTCACAAAAGCTTAGAAATAACAGTTTCAATCACACTTTATCTCACATCGCCACGAAACTTGCAAACTTTTTTTGACTGACGTCGCCTATGCATGAACTTCCTGCTATACTTTGTTCCCCGACTACAATACTTTTTATTATTTAAGCAATTGATTGCGTTAAAAGTTGGCAATATCTTTCAATTTTGAAATTTCAATTAGAGAATAGAAACCATTCTTCTTCTTCTTAAAAAACAACATCCGTTACGGATGTTGGCGATCATCACGGCAATTTTTATCTTGTCAGCAGCAATATGGAAAAGTTGTGGTATTGTCTTATTAAACCAGGATCTAAAATTCTTCAACCAGGACGTTCGTCTTCTTCCTGTACCTCTTTTTCCAAAAATTTTTCCCTGCAGGATGGATTAAAGCAAGGTGTATCTTGGTTCGTTTCTCATTATGTGGCCGAAGTACTGTAGCTTGCGTATTTTGATGGTGTTGATTATTTCACTATCTTTTTTCATTCATCGAAGTACTTCTTCATTAGTAACACGATCACATTTCGAACGCTTCTAACTTGCTATACATATCTTCATTTACGGTCCATGATTCATGGACGGTAAGAAACCGTTGTTTTACAAAAATTGCATTTCTTTGCACATTTCTTTAAAAATTAAATTTAGAACACCAACGACTAAATATCAGGTTAATAGGATTATTAACACAGCTTGTTACAATGAAATAATAGATGTAAATAGAAAAATAATAAAAACAATGCTGTCCCACTTAAAAAAAAAGAAGCTAAAGTAAAAACTCTTAGCTATATCCTGTCGAAACCAAATTTAATGCTTTAGTTAGAAACATATGCTACATAACACGCGATAATATTATGAAAAAAATATAAAACGGGATAACTTAATTCAAACGAACCTCACTTAGATATTTTATCGAATGCATCGATCTAAAACTACCTGGCTATATGCTTGACAAGTGTGTCGATACACTAGTGGCACCGATCAGGCGAGCAACAATTTAGATCGGCATATCTTAATTAATAATCTACTTTACCAAATGATAAGTATCAATTTCGGCAATCAAGAAATAACATTGGGTAATCGTAAAATAAGTAGTAGCGACAAAATGTCGTTTTGGATTTGATTACGGGCTTGAATTTTTTGCAGCCCCGTAATTTTTTCATTCAAATACTGCTGTGACCATTTAAAAGGTTAAAATTCTCTAGACGTTTCGAGACAATATACAATAGTGAGATCAAAGCCTTACGCAATCTGCGTATACTTTCTTTTTCTTATTATTTAAATTATGTGGGAACCGGTGTTCGGTGTAGTCCTGTTAAAATTGTCGTAGCCTAGTGAGCATTGTCAAGAGCTATGTTGGTTGTGCAAAGCTAGCTACAGCGTGCTAGGACAAACATAGATTTCTTCATTGCAATAAAACTTCGCCACCACGAAGTATATATATGGATACACCGGTAGGAATTTCAATTTGTCAACCATTTAGGGCGTCACTACTACAAATTTAATTTCTTAAGTATAGGCTAACTCTACCTAATTATCGCTTATGATATTAATTAGAAAACCAAACAATACAATTTCCGACTGTGGCGCTTGTAATATTATTCATTTATGGACCATTAAGCATTACGGAACACAGACAAATTGTATAATGGCCATTTTTTTGCGACTGTTATTGC